TTTTTTTTTTTTTAAAGGTTTTTAAAGCTCATATCAATTTGGAAGTATGCACAGTGCTGTTAATAAAATGACAAGCAAAAGCCTTCAGGTGTCTCTTTCCTCTTTTTACACATATATTCATATTTAGCTTTGTATGCCTTAAAACATAAAACTAAAAAAAAACTAAAACTGGGGGGAAAAGTCATTTCCCGTGTGTAGCTCCAGTCAGAGTGCACAAGCTTCAGTGATTTTCTTGACTTGGCTGCCATTTGGCAATAACTTTTTAAGGTAAAACTAAATAGAAATTTGAATTTCATCCTTTGGCTCAGGCAGGAGTGGCTGAGAAGACTCTAAAACAAGTTAACAGCAAAGCAGATGAAAACTGGAAAAAGAGCAGCGAGTGATCAGAACTGCAGACGGATTCAGTGCTTTGGTGCTATTTTTATAGTTGATACTCTTGCATTTTCCATTGTGATGCATTTGGTAATTGCATTAAAATCCAAAATGTGATTTGGCTGCCCGACCAGTAGATCACATGACCAATCATCAAATAAAACTTTAATGTAACCTAATAAACTTGCCTACTGTTTGTAAAGGGAGTGCTAAGGATAATCTGCTTATTCATGCCTGCTTTGGTGTGGATGTTACAAGTAGGCACTTTATAGGCATCCGGTGTCCATGAACTCCCCTTTTAAATTCATTCGGATACTAATCAGAGTATATTTCTTTGATAGAACACCTTGACTTAAAAACGGAGTCACACATTACTCATTTAATGCTGGAAATTTAATTCACGCCATGTTCAGCAGCTATATGTTTTTAGTTGTGTGCACAAATGCCACACTATCATGTTTAGCAGACCTACTGTGCAATACCTAAAACTCATATTACTAATGTTCATTAACAATAATATTTGACTATTTGCCAGTTATTTGTGAGACAACATCCAAGAAAAAAAATATTTGTGGTAAAACCAGTAAAGAACGATTTTTATTTCTACCTAAAATTCACAAGGCTCATTCTTTAAAGTGGACCTATTATGTTGAGTTTCTGCCTCCACATTTTTATTATTAGAGGAGAACTGAATGACTACCTGCTCAAAATTATCCTCCTTTACATCAAATTGCACTTTGTTCATCAAGAACAAGGGTGTCAAACTTATTTTGACCAGTTAAATTTGTTCTTCCCGTCAGTGTAAAGAAGTTTACCGCACATTTAATCCCCAAGAAATTTTAATATAAGAAAAGAATTGCAATTTCAATAAAACATGTCCGTTATTCTACATGATTTAACCACAATGCTCCTTTGGGCTTACATTTTATCTTAATGCTGGTATCTCAAGACTGTCCTATATTTATAAAATGGAAACATTTAGTCGATTGACAGTATGTCTGTGTACCTGAAATGATCATTTTTATTTTGGACGCTTGCGTTATTTTATTTTACACACAGAATAATTACTAGGGTCAAAATTAGTAGCTCCCCTGTGCAGGCCAGCCAGTAATGTTCACTTTGGTCTTCTGGAGGTCGTTCTTCACCAGGAGCGATGTATGTTTTGGGTCATCGTTGGAAGACGAAGCAGTGGCCCAGACCTGGTTTCATTTATGACCGCTTTAGGTTTACTTTTAAAATCTTCATGCAGCCTCCTTTCTTTATGATGCCTTCCACCATGACAAGATTTCCAGTTTCGGACACACTGAAGCGTCCCCACAGCATTATACTCCCACCATCGTGCTTTCCTTTGGTTGTATGCCTCTCCCTTCTTTCTCCAAATATAAGCAGCATCTCTAGTTTCATCTCATGTGACTAAAGTATGTGCTTCCAGTATCACTCATTCATTCTCCAGATTGTTCTTGACAAACTTCAGCCTGGCCTGAAAGTGTCTCTTTATGCATAATTTGAGTTTTTCTTGGGCTGAAAACTCACAGTGCATCGCTGTGCAAGGCTCCAGTGATGTCTTTATCTTCCTACCTCTGTCAGGCTCGTCCTGTACTCTGCAGCTCTCTTTGAATTTTTTGATGACACTTCCCAGTGGTACCTTTATATAACTGATTTCTTTAGTTTTTAAGCATGATATTTTCTCAAGTGACAGCTCAAACCCATCCTAATGATTTTCCACTGTGTGTAAATTGGAAGGTAACCAAGTTTTAACTTGTTTTTAAAGGTTTTGACCATTACAGAGTAGAGGCACGTCACGGCACAGCAGTGATTTGTAGTGTGGCTAAATAAAAAAGGTCATATTTTTATGTCAGCAGACACATTTCCAGTTACGTTCATTTAACAGTCCATTTTTATTTGGTAGAATTTCACAAAAAAAAAAACTACAAACAATCAGATTTGTTGTTAAATATGTTATAATGTCTTCAGTGATATTATAACATATTTTATCTTTCAGTCTTTAAAAAGGCATTATACATTGAACAGTGGTCACACGCATCAACAGCAGAAACAAAACAGAGGCTTAACTGTCTTCAAACATGATTTGCATATGCGGAGTCACAGTCAGTCCCCTCTTCTCAGTAGTGAAGTCTAGTCTAGTTACCGAAATGAAAAAGAAAGGCTCTGGTTACACTTAAATGAGGAGTGGTTGATGTTTTAAGGCATCAAGGCTGAGGGGCATTCTCATGCCTCTCTGGGACACAACAGTTTTCAACAGTGTTTCAAGTTTTGCTCAATACATGAATTTCTTCATTCATCACACAGAAATGTCTTTTTCTTATAAAGAAGGAAACATCATGCCGTGAACCCACGTGTTTTAACCTCCAACTTTAAATTTTCAAAAGAAATGATTACAGAAGTGAAGCATGTCATGAACGTATAGAACGATGAAAGATGGTGGCTCCTTCCACAACAACAAAGCCTGCATGAATCACCAAAGAAATCAGTGCGCTGAACATTAAATATAACAGTACAAAAATGGCTTCGAATGTAGATTCTAAGGCATCGGTCATTTATAACTGGACTGCATAACATAGTCAGATTTGTTCACCTGCCTCACAAAATGACTTTGGTTAATATACTTTACACTCCGCAGATTGTGTGAACGTTGAGTGTTAGAGGAGTAGATATCAAAATAATGTGAAAGATACGTGATTCAAATTTTTCTTTCAGAGCCAATATTTGGTGAAGCTGTGAACTGGCTGTAGAGGTGAGGCATCGCTAGAGCTACAAAAACAATTCAGTGTAAAGACAAAATAATAAAAACAAAATATCTACTTAAACTCTCCTTGCCATCTTCCTTAAAAAACAAATCCCCACCACACTATCTTGTCTTTTTTCTCTTTCCCCCCACATTGTGTTACTTTAAATAAAGAAATATATACATAGATAATAATATGTACATTAGCTGAGCTGTTTCAGGCTGCTCTTCGGTGACTGAAGGGGCTTGAGGTGATGCTTTTTGGGGTATAAAAATAGTCCCTGGTCGGCTTTGTGCTCTAATTATTGTTCTGTGGACTATCAGCAGTACACTGTGAGGAGAATCTGCGGCATTCCTTGGGGTTGAAGGGAGATTTCTTAGTTCTGAAATGAAACTTTCCAACCTTCTTCATTAAAGCTCGAGATGCATTCCAACAGAGGAGCTGGCACGTAAAGGGCAGAAAGAGAAAAAGCCATAGCTTGGAATAACTTCATTTGTCCTGATAGTCACGATTGGAATAAAAAGCTGGGGGTGCTTGAAGGCAGCAGCGGGGCCTGAGGCTGAGAGGGGCGAACGGGAGCAGCCGTCGGTGTGTCACCTCCTCACTTTCACGCGTGCAGATGCTCATCGGCCTTTACTGCAGAGAGCAAACAAACACAAAAGAGAAAGTTTGGGTGGGGTACTGGTAAGTTTGATATTCAGTAGAAAGACCATTCGATTTAGCGAGTTCAGTTCAGGATCAGATATGTACTTGGTCATTTGGTTGTTGCTTTTCTCCGTTGACCCCAAGGAGAATCGCCTCCTCTGTGTTGTCGCTTTTCATCTCCACCACAATGTTATCTTTGCTGGACTTCCTCTTACTGCTGCAGGGTCAAGAACAAGCCATAGTTATAACTGAACCTATCTGAAGCTTTATGCATTGTACCTGCTCACATAAAAGGGGGCGTCACTTTGTGTGTCCTTTAAAGCCGCACAAAAAATAATAAAATGAGTATATATATTCAAATTACGCCTGCAACAATCGATCGAGTAATTCAAGGGATTCAAATATAGCAAAAGAAAAGCGAACTTTATAGCCGCTCCATTCACTACTTTGTTTTACACACAGAAAAATCTGCAGTAAACTTCAAGTTGTATTAAAATGTGCAGATGATCTATTAACTTAGTCTGATACCATGTTTAAACGAACGGCAGCCGCCCTTTTTACATGGAGGCGACACCTGCAGCAAACAGGGGTGAGTCTACACAGGGGGGAATGGGGTGCAATAGACCCATTAATTTTTTAAAAGTCTTTCATAACATTTTTCAGATTGAAAGTGAAATAATATAAAATATTGCGTTAATATTTAAAAATATAAAACAAAAGCTTTTTTCACAAGCCAACAGAAATGTATATGGGCCATTAAAATTCAGCGTAAAGATAAAAATGTTTATGCCTTAGTTTGGATTTCATACATATCTTATTTTATTGACTTCGACTGTACTTGAGATTATTTATATTTTTTGCATTTAAGAAAATGTTTTCTTTAGTAATTAAATTTAATATAGCAGGTCATCAAAGGCTTGTTTTCTTTCGTGTTTTTCTGACACGTTTGCATTAAAACGTTGCAATTCCTAGAATGGAAACCAATGAGCAGTTCGTTTAGAAAAACCTTTTTTTTTATTGCTCATATTTATTATTGCTCAGAAAAGTATTTCTTATCTGATTACTGGATCAATCAATTGAATAATTGATAGATTACTCAGTTACTTAAATATCACTTTTTACCAGAGAGCAACTTTTACACACTCTGGCTTTAGGAACAACACACATCACAACTTTAACATTTAGGTTAATGTTTTATGTTATTAAGTGCACTTTTGAATCAACTGTGAACACAAACTGTATGTAAAAGATGGACATAGACACCAACTGGGAGTTGTCGCCCCCTGCAGGCTATTAGAGAGAACGCAGCTTAAGGCACTTCCTGACTGGCTTCTCCTTTTAGACACTTTTATATCAAAGGGTCATCTATCATCTGTCACCTTTCCCAGGAGTTTGGCTGCTAGTCTTTTCTTTTCATCACTTCCTTTTTCCCATGCTTTAAAACTCAATGCAGACATCATTGTTTTAGTCCAATCATCTTTCTGCCAATCAGCCTCCACTCTGCATACCTTAAATTGCCCTGCTCATCTCTCATCTCCCTTGTGCAACCAACCTCTTCCCCATCGCTGCCTCACACAAGTCACTCAACCCAAGCCTATCTTCATCACCACCAGCTTCTAGACCAGGGGTGGGCAACTCCAGGCCTCGAGGGTCGGTGTCCTGCAGGTTTTAGATATTACCCTGGGTCAACACACCTGAATCAAATTATTAGTTCATTACCAGGCCTCTGTAGAACTTCAAGACATGTTGAGGAGGTAATTTAACCATTTAAATCAGCTGTATTGGATCAAGGACACATCTAAAACCTGCAGGACACTGGCCCTCAAGGCCAGGAGTTGCCCACCCCTGGTCTAGACTCTGGGGGGTCCTGCCCTAATTCCTATCACTGCTGGGATTTCATTCTGCTGTGATGGGCCATCGGAGTCTAATCACAACAAAACTGAATTTTCTACATCGATGCATCATGTTCAGTTCTTTCTAATGGTCTAGAACTACAATACTGTGATACAGTCCAGCCATAAAATCACATTTTAATGTCTCCTAATGTGGACACATTGTGTGTTTATGCATGGAACTGCTGTCATTGCACTTACAAGTCTTGCTTGCCAGATCGGCCGCAGATCCTGCCCTTCTTGTACAGGAAATAGAGCACGCTTCCCAAGATAGCCAGAAGGAAGATGGCGATGATGATGATTGCGATAACAAAACCTTTGCTCTCTATTGGAGAAGAAGCACAAAACACCCACAGCTTTACTTACTGCACCCGGATTTTGGAATAGAATGACAGCAGGAGACAGGAGAGTCTGATACAGGTGGAGATACAGTTTGCAATGCGTCTAAAGAGAGTGCGGCAGTAGCATCATTCAGGTGACCCTGAAAGATAAAGAAATGAAGTGGCAGTTTATCAGGGCTGCAGGAGCAGCAGTGCTTTTACAACAGCATGACAACATGCGCAGGAAGAGGTGAAGATGATGAACAACCCAATGACGCTTTGATGTTTTGTTCATCACCAGGGAGGGTTCTCGTGAAAGCTAGGAGGCGAGAGAGCGAGAAGTGTGCTCACAGAGGAGACGTGGAAGGAAGGCGGTAGAGAATCTGCAACAGCAGAGTGATGTACAAACCTTTCTTGATATTTGGTGATTTGGTGGGCGTTTGAACTGAGAAAAACCAAATGAACACAGGAATCAGTGGGCATATGCACATAAATACTTCATATAATACTCAAACACAGTTTAGATCAGGGACACGTGGCCCACTTTGATCTTAAGTGGGCTGGACCAGTGAAATGCCTCTTTCACATTTAATCTCCGAGATGTCTTATATATGCAGTTTCAACATTCAGATTTTCGATGACAAATGTTTAAAATTGCAGAGAAAGATCTGGCAGTTGATTGCCCAGTGATATGAATGGCAATGGAAGCGGTCTTTATGAATAGGAAAAGCTGTAAAACGTGAAAATACAGTTAAAAGTTCAAAAGCTCCTCCTTCCAAAGTTGTCCATTGGGCCAGATTGGAGTCTTTGCTGTGTCAGCTCTGGCCTGCGGGCTTATGGTTGACACCCCAGGTTTGTGTTGCTGATGTTCAGCAGAGTCCTGAATAAATGTTTAATTTCAGAGGATCTTATCAGTGTTTTGAATCTAAACATCAACTTTGATATGCAAACTGCGGTCAGCAGCAGAAGAGTCATTTTCCAGAGGAGCCCTGTTTAATTTGGGCTTTGGGAGAAATGTGGAGTCAGAGCAGTTTTCCTCTGAGGGGCTGAAAATTTCCTGGCGTGACATATAAACAGAGAGCAGGCACAGAAAAACACAAAGCAGGACCCATAATGGGAGTCAGGAGACTCACTCTGAGTGCGTTTAAAGCATCGGCTTTAAATGCACTCAATGATGAGAGTCACAATGATGCATGTACGTGTGTGAACCTTTCTCTTTTTATTTCCACATCATTTGCAAGCATGACTTCATTCTCAATCTTTAAAACTACATTAAAACAAAACGTCTACATTTATAATAACCCAACACGCAGAACAGCAGTCGTGACAATAAATTAATAATTAAGACGCCCTGTAACAACAACAAACCTCACTTTTAATGACCTATCTTGCATACCACAGTGGTAACTAAGGCCTGCAGGTGTTTCTGAGTTTGCCTCATGCCTCCTTGCTCTTATTCTTTCTTTCTGACTTACAGGGAAAAAAACTGCCCCACAAGACTAAATAAAAGAAAGTCTGGAGACTCTGAATTTGCTGGTTATAAGCTTTCAATTCAATCAGTTCCATTCAGTTTTATTTATTTATTGCCAATTCACAACAACGGTCGTCTCAAGGCACTTGATTCTGCAAAGTAAAGAGCCAACAATCAGCAACAGCCACCTGCCGTGACTGGGTGTAGGCTGAACGGGAAGAATAGAGGGGAAAAAAGAATGGGAGAACATAGAGAGGGTAGACAAAAGTTACAGCATGCAGCAGTGGCACATAAATGCATCAGGAGTGAAAAAAGGTGTGTGGAGAAGATCAAGCCCTATCTAAACTTTAACAAAAAGTTTAAACCTAATGTGAAAATGATGGAGGGCGACTGTCTCCTGAATCCAAACTGGGAGCTTTTTGATAAATGAACTACGTATTTCTGTCAACCAAGTTTAATTATGCATTTTGTAGCTGATTTAATTGTACGGTGGTCTTACCTGGGTCATTGACATAGTTAGTTGATGTGTTTTGTGTTACTGAAAGCAGGCAGAGGCACAGAGAGGAGGTTATTTGGGTCACTACACAGGGGCGCACATTTAACATCACAGAGGTTAATAGTGTCAAAAAGTCTGTATAGGTTCTCAGTCATCAAGGACATGCGAGCTATGAGTTCTTAGAAAGAAGGCAAATGGACTTGTGTAGCTTCACATCTCATCCAAGAGGCTTCTTCAGTTCTGAAACAACTGGCGGAGATTTAAACCCCACTGGGAAATGTCTCCTTGGAGGTTGAAATACCTGGAAAAGGATATCAAGACTGTGTGCCAATTTATTTAGAACTGAAGAAGCCTCTTGGATCAGAGGCGAAATGTCTTCCCAAACCTAAAGAAGTCCAATTGCTCTTTTTAAGCACTTAAGACATCAGTGTGAAACAACAACAACAACACAGAGAGGAATATGAAAAATCACAGACAACACATTACAACACTTGGCAAAGCTCAGCATCTTTAGATGAAAGTCAAAACACACAGAGACACGGATGTGAACGGGAGGGACACGAGTAAAAGGGAAAAGTGAGGGGACTTTAATTTATACAGCAACAGTTCTTCAAGGTGGTTTATGTAGAAAGTTAAGGACCCAACAGTACTAGAGAGAAAACCTCAACATCAGAGGATTCCCCATTAGCACTCGGCAACAGTGGGAAGGAAGAACTCCTTTTTAACAGGAAAAGGTGTAAGTGCAGCCAGTAAGTTCAAAGAGAAGAGAAAAAAAGAGAGAGAACAAAACACAAGCTACAGGAGAGAACTGACAAAACTTAATAACATGCATTAGAGACATATTACGGGAGAAATGCTCAGTGCATCATGGGAGGTCTACCAGCAGCCTAAATCTATTGCAACATGAATAAGGGATGTTTCAGGGGTCACCAGATCCAGCCATAACTATAAGCTTTATTAAAAAAAATTTTTGAAGCCTCGTCCTAAAATGAAATAGAGCTTTATAGCGGATTTGAGTTCCATGTCAAAAAACAGGCACAGCAGAGTGACTGTGATCTTACCGGTGTCATTGATAAAGGTAATGTTTGTTGATGGTATGGTAGTATTGGTAG